TCCTGCTCCGCTGCTGCGGTGCTGCATTCTAGCAGGACAGTCGGCTTCTCAGTCCGCCCTCCCGCGGTCTCTCTTCATGTTCTCCAGTCTGCCAGTGGCTCACCCGCAGACTTGAGGCTCACTCGCTCGCTTCCTCCCTCCCTCGCCCCCTCCCTCGCCCCTCCCCTCCTTCCTCCCTCCTTCTCAAGGGCCCCTTTTCCGCGGCCGGGCGCCCCGCGGCGCGCGCAGGAGCCCCCTACGGTGCATCCGAGGCGCCGCGCCGCGCTTTGCCCCGACCGAGACGGGCCCCGAGATCCCGGCGCCTCAATCAGGGGGCCACATGTCGGGGGCGGAAAAGAGGGGGGTGATGATTAGGGGGGGGGGTGAATATCATGGCGTGGGCCATGATGTTTCCCCAGATTTCATGGCGCCTCTTCTTATTTCAATACGTCCCCGGCCCACCCGCTGGGCCGCGCACATGCCGCTGGTCATGATTTGCACTCCCCCTCTTGGACCCCCCCCTCTTGGCCGCTCCCGAACGTGCGAAGCCTGCCCCCTACCCCCCACAATTTCAGAGGGGGAGGGTGGGGTTCACTTCGTTCGGGAGCTCCCGAGCGAAGTGTGCCCCACCCTCCTCAGAAATCGTGGGGGGTAGGGAGTAGGGTTCGCATGTGGCCGCCTTATCAAGCTTTTCGAGCCGGGCGCTTTCGCTCGGGAATTCGCGCCCCTGGACCCTCATAGATCAATCCAGCTCGAAAAATGGAAGGGTCTAGGGCTCGGGTAGTGATTTTTGGTAAGGCCTCAATCTGTTCGCGCCGTCGGATATCAGGGGGTGCCCCGTACAGCCAAGACGCTGAAGTAGGTACCGGCTTGGGCTCGGTAGAGGCTCGGTTTTTGCTCGGTCCGCTCCTTGGATTTATGTCGTGTGGAGATCACCGGAGCGACGAAGAAAAACGGGGTTGTCTGCGCCGACGATGGCGCGTAAGCTGCCCGCGGAAGGTTGCGCGTAAGCGCCCTCGTCTCCAATGCAGCGTGCCGCGGTGGCGGCCCGCGTAAGCTGCGGCAAATGGTCGCTACGCCATCTCACGTAAGACCCGTTTTTGATCGTCGCCCACTTGCATCCTCGGTCCCTCAGGGCCTGGCCGGTACGCCTGCGAGCGCGCGGCTCCGTGGCCGACCTGAGGCCCCCGGCCCGAACGAGGCCTGCGGGCCCAGACCCGGGCACGGTCTCCGGACCCACGCCGCCCAAGAGGAGGGGAGGCGGGTCTTTTCCCGAAGTCTGGGCGCCCAAGTTTTTTCGAGCCGGGCGCTTTCGCTCTGGATTCGAGCCCCTGGGCCCTCACAGATCGATCCGGCTCGAACAGTGGGGCTGAAAGATGGGGTCCGGGGCTCGGGTCGTGACTCCTGGCGATGTCTCAATTCTGCCGCGCCGTCGGACTTCAGGGAAACCGCAACGGGGGTCACGCTCCTCGTCGCCGCGGTGCCGCCCGCCGCCCGCAGGCGGAGGCGGCGCCTGCACCCCAGGCCACGGGCTGGTGCCCAAAAGACGCGCGGGTCCCGCGGGGGCCCCGGGTCCTTCACGGGCCAGTGTCACGTCGGGCATGTCCCCCATACAGGCGGGTTTTGGACGAAAGATTGAACATAGTCCAAAAAGATGCCCGAAATGTTGATAAATACTAGAAGAATCGTCCCCAGACCATTTTTTCACTTTGAGGTTGGTGCCCCAAAAAACAGGAGGGAACACCGCCCGGGGGCCCTCGAGGGCCCCGCGGGTCCTCGGGCCGGGTGCAGCACGCAGACGCGGCAGCCCCATCGGCGGAGGGGAAGGAAGGAACGGGCCTGGCCAGCTCGGCTCGGGGCCACCGACGGAAGAACCCCGAAGGCGCCTGGCCCCGAAGGGGCCGAAGGTGGAGGGGCACCGAGGGCGCCTCGATGTCCAGGGCCAGGGGGCCCTCGAGGAACCTAGCCCGCGGCGTCAGGCACCAATTCGGCCGAATTCGGCACACGCATCGCAAAACAGGCCAGAGCGACCGCTGATCGGCAATTCCGGTGGCGACGCCCATGGTCCGCTCACCGATCGTCTCCCCCGCGAGATCTTCAGTCGACTTGTCCGGCGCCGCCGTCGGGTTTTCCTCGCGGTTGGCCGCGCGCGTGTGCACTTCGTCGCATTTTCTGTTGCAAGGAAATGTGAAATGTTTGGAAATCGGTGATAAACGACTTCCTCATAAAATTTAAAGAGTGCTAGCTATGTTGTGCAATCTAGGCGGCGACGGGGCGGCGACGGCGGCAACATAGCCGCCAGAGCCGCAGACATGCCCAAACAACGGGCGGCGACGAGGCGGTAACGGGGCGGCGATGAGGCGGCAACATAGCCGTCAGCGCGGCAGACAGACCCACTTCCTTAGAGGAGAGGTAAGAACCCCTGCGTGCAAACATTGTTTTAGGACAAATATTTCCCCTATTACAGTCGGAGGGTGTCAGAGTCCACAGGCAATCCTATCTAGTGCTTTTAACTAGTTCAAGCAAGCCTGTCGCCGAGCTGGCGTCCTCCATCGCCGCCAGATTCGCGCCGGATGGTGGTGGATAGAGCTGTAGAGCTCAACAACTCTTCCGCCCTCCTCCTCCTCCTCCTCCTCCTCCTCCTCCTCCTCCTCCTCCTCCTCCTCCTCCTCCTCCTCCTGTTCGTCCCCTCCCTTGCCCGCCAGGGACGTCATGGAGGGAACGTACCTGGCCGAGCGGGAGGTCGTCTTCGCCTACACGAGGGACCTCCCCTACGGATACGACTCGCTCTTGGAGAACCTCAGCGACGTCCGCGCCCTTCGGCCCGCGAGGAGGGGATAATCGGGAGGAGGAGCAGGAGGTGGAGGAGGAGGAGGAGGAGGATGAGCAGGAGGAGAAAGACGAGGAGGTGGAGGAGGAGGAGGAGGAGAAAGACGAGGAGGTGGAGGAGGAGGAGGAGGAGGAGAAGGAGGAGGAGGAGGAGGAGGAAGAGGAGGAGCGTGAGGGGGAGGAGGAGAAGGAGGAGGAGGAGCAGGAGGAGGAGGAGGAGAGGAGGAGGGGGTGGCTTCGTTTAGAAGACCAGTGCAGTTGTTGGGCCTGACATTTTGGCGAGAGAGCTAGTTATGACCATACACCATGCACTTCAGCGACGTTTATGCGCGCCCCCAGGGAAAGGACGCCCCAGGCCGCGGGCGCCGCGCACCTAGGTGCGCCCGAAGATGCCGAGGCCGACGCCCTTGCCATGGAAGACGAGGTCCATTGACCCTGTTCCCTCTTCGAGGCCCTTGGCCGAGAGGGGGGGTCGCCCCATGGCCAGTAGATGTGGCTGGGGCTCATAGCGACGCCCGGGGTGCCCCAGGCTTGGTTGTCATCTTCCGTGTTTGGCAGTGCTCTGTTTGGCAGTGCTCGGCTTGGCGGGGGTCTCCCTCCCAAGAGCCAACGGAACCTGCTCCTCAGCGCCCGCAATTCGCTCCAGTGAGAGTCGTTGAAGGCTCCGCGCTGCTCGTACGCGCTGGCTCTACGGACCCCCTGGGAAAAGAGCGCTCTGTAAGGACGCCCACGATCCCGCGCTTGAGAGGGCCATTTCTGGGCAATGCCCCGCAGGGTATTGCCAGGATGTTGTCGGAGCAGGTGGCGACGCAGCGGCTCTCTACTGGGCCCCCTGAGCGAGGCCTCGAAGTAGGGGGTTGCACTGCGCGTTCCAGTACTCCCTGCTGATGTGACTTCCCCACTGGTGTCGTGGATCCATCTAGCCGATGCCGTCGCCATCGCGTCTATCGCGGTCTGATTCGCGCCCCTGAAGTCGGGCAGCAGCCCCCTCGGCACACGCCCCATCCAGGAGTTGACCTTGTCCGGCCTGTCACGGCCAAGCCCGTCCGTCCGCGTGGTAAATTCCGTTTCCCCATCGTCGAACCGTTCGAGGTGTGGCTCTGACTCGGAGGTCTCGCTGTCCTCGTTGCCGCGGGCATCCTCGCCCCGGTAGTCGCGGAAAAACTAACTCGGCTCCTCCTGGGCACCCTGCCTGTTGGACGTCCCCCTCTTGGCTGACCGTGAGCGATGATCGAGTGCCCATTCATACTGTCCCCGGAGGCGGTCTGGCCGCCCATCTACAATACTCTGGCTGCAAAGCCCCCTAGCTGACACCGATGCTGTCGTCGCCCTGGCACTCGACGGAGTAACCCTCAAAGCTGGACGATCACCTGGTGCGTCCGCTGGTTCGTCAAAGCCGCGGCGGACTCTTCGGAGCTCCTCGGGTGCCTCGGTTTAGCCGCTGCCAGCAAGCGAGACCGAGCATCTGCCATGACCTCACCCTCGCCCTTAGTAAGGTCCTCCACGCGCGCTTCTTTGCCCCCCATTGGGGGCTGCTGGGGTTGCATCTGGTGCAGCCGCATGGGCCTTCGGCTGGGTCTTCACATCTCCTCCTTCAGCTGCCTCGCTGGTAGTCTTCCGCATTTTCACGAGGTGGTATTTGAGCGCCTTGTGCTGTTGCTTGAGCTCCTCCGCCTTATTAGGGAACTGTCCAAACGCCAGCTGAGCCAGCTCATTGAATTTCTGTTGTAGTAGTTGCTTTCGCTTCGTCGTTTCCTCTCAGTCCGACTCGTGTATCTCGCAGTCGTCGTGGGCCTCCAGGGCCTCCAAGCCGAATGGCTCTCCATCAGTGAGCTCGTCGTCCCTACCCTCGAGGATGGAAGCGATGGAGATGCAGGCTAAGGATGTTCTGTCTGGATATGCTGCTGCTGCTGCTGCTGGGGCTGCCGCTTGTTTGGCCAAAGTTTGGATGGCTTTGGCGCGCGCCGCCGTCGTCTCGTCATGCCGAACGGAACACTCCGCCAATCTCGTTGTGGCCTGTACCAGCTGCCCCGCAAGGTCTTCTGCTTCGCCGACAGCTCGGTCAAGAGCAGCTACTGAGGCTCCTCGGGCTTAGCTGGCTGCATCCACTGAGACAGGAGTTGGCTTACGCTGAATTCGTAGCGCATCCAGTTGCTGTTGGTAGTTCTGGACTCCGCCGGAGAGACGCAGGCGGCAGATGAGCTGGACGAGCTTGTTCCCCTCCTGGGTCGGCAATATCCGTCTCGTCTGCTTCATCTGCTTCCTAGTGTTCATCACCTCAATCACAAAGCGCAAACCGCACCCTGGACCCTGAACGAGTGAGGGCTGTCGCGCCAAGGAGGTTTGCCAGGAGGGCGCCGCTCAGAAGCACGAGCCCTGCGCGGCGGAGGCTGGAACGGGACAGTCTCCATCTTGCAATGCTTGCACCAGCTCCACCATGCCTCGTTCCTCCTGCAGCCACAGCGCGGGCATGGGAGCGGGCCTGGTGCTGGCCCCATCCCCCTCGCAGCCTTTCTCGCACGCCATGCGAGAGTTCCCTCGGCGGCTGGCTGCCGTGGTGGCACAGCAGCAGCTCCCTGTCGCGGGCTGGCCGCGGGCGGTCCCTCGACTTCGTCCGCTTCCTCCTCCAGCAGCGGTACCAATAGGGGAACAAAAAGTGGCATAAGCATAAAAACTCGGAGGTCCGCGCTGATTTCTCGGATCGGCGCTGGGGCCCCCCGGCGACGCCTCCGGCGCCGCCCCTGGCGCGCTCCGCGCGCCAGGGAGGGGGGTCCAGCGCCGATCCGAGAAATCCGCGCGGACCTCCGAGTTTTTCTTTTTATGCCACTTTTTGCTCCCCTAACCAAGGCGGCGAGGGGGACCGCTGGCGGTGATCCGTCGCGTCGCGCCCTCGGGCGCTGGGGGAGATGGCGGCGCGGGCGGGGGCCCCGCGGAGCAAAACGGCGGCGCGGCCGCCCATGGCCAGGCCATTTTGAGCCACAATGGCTGGCAAAGGAAGAGGAGGACGAGGAGGAGGAGGAGGAGGAGGAGGAGGAGGAGGAGGACGACGACGACGACGAGGACGAGGAGGAACACGTGGATGACGAGAAGGAGGTGGAGGACGAAGAGGACGAATAGGACGAGGAAGAGGAGGACGAGGATGAGGAGGACGAGGAAGAGCAGGAGGAGGACGATGAGGAGGAGGAGGAGGAGGAGGACGAGGACGAGGACGAGGAGAAGGAGGACAATGAGGAGGAGGAGGAGGAAGAGGAGGAGGAGGAAGAGGAGGAGGAATCGGGGCGGATAGGGGGGGGAAGGGGAGGAAGGGGAGGTGGGGAAGGAGGGGAGCGAGGAGGAGGAGGGAGACGAGGGGGATGAGGAGGAGGAGGAGGAGGAGGAGGAGGAGGAGGAGGAAGGAGAGGAGGAAGAGGAAGGTTGCCTACCCCTCGTACTCCTGGCGCTCCTTGCGGCGACGGTGGCCCCTCCACCTAGGAACCGAAGAGCGGGCCTACTGTTGGCTACAAGGGCCAGATCACTGCTGGCAGGGGGGACTGTGCAGCTTTGACTGTTCCAGCCTTACTGTCGCTACGTGGCTTGGAACAGATGCGCATGCAGTCTAGCTTTTTGTGTTTTTGCTCCACGACCATGGGTGCGTGAGCAATCTGCTAGCAGTGCACGGCGCAGCAGCCTAGGGCAGCATCACAAGACTGCTTCAGATGCTTTTAAGATATTTTGCCATCTCTGGCACACTCACCAGGCCAGCTTCGCAGGCCAGCCTTGATAGCAGCACATGGACACTTGAAGTAGTTTGTACCCACTTCCTCCACGTTCTTTATTCTTTGCTATCAATTGTGGGCCCTACACCCTCCCCCCTCCCGCGCGGCCTTGACACGCTGGTGGCGCATCTCACACTGCGCAGGTTCGGGGTTAGCCTGCGACATCCTGGGTCGCAGCCCAAGGATTGCATGGATTATTTTCTGCTGGTTAGGGGTTAACCTTAAAAACCCACCGCAGCACGCACCGTGCACATTGGGGCCCCCACAGGGTCTGACCCCGAACTGCAGTTTTTATCTTCACCTCTCACATCCATTGCTCTTACCACGAGCAGCGCTCGCACCAGCTAGGCTTTCAGGCGATGAATTCTGTGAAGTCAGAGCTACTTAATGCGCAGGTTTTGTTCTACACAGGCATCGCCACCCATTGCATTTATATTCCGTTTACTTGCTAGGGCCCGTGCAGTCGTATTGTATTTGGGCTGTTGCGACGACACTCACCATCGATCCCAAGTATGTGACCACTATTGATTATTGTTCTTATTGCTGTTGGTTTCCACTAAGGCGACTGTCGTTCCACCAGGCGGGCGCCTACTCTCATTAATGTTCCGTCCTACGCTTGCACCTTTTCATTCTCCTCGGCGCCCGCCAGGTGTTATTTTTGATCCGAGTCGTTTTTCTTTCCATTGCTATAGCGCCACATGTACACACATAAGGTCTGGCCAACGCACAAAAAAGAGGAGGACAGGAGGAAAAGGAATCGGAAGCGGAGGAGGAGACGGAGGAACGCGAGGAGGAAGCGCAGGAGGAAGGGGAGGAGGACGAGGAGGAGCCAGAGGAGGAGGAGGAGGCGACCGAGGTCTCCCACATCCCCTGGGCCCACCACGGCCTGCAGGGCACGCGCGACGACGCCATTCCGATCGCCATGACCAGGCCGGAGGCGCCCTCGGCGCTTTCGCTTGGGCCGCTGCGTCGGACGTTGCAGCAGCCTGGGGAAAATGGAGGAATCTGATGTACATTCTGGATGCGATGATAAGTCTTACGATGTCAGCTCGGAACCCAAAACATCAAAAGAACCTTCCCCTTAACGAAAAGAGAGACGATCCCTGGAGGACTCCCCCCCAAAGCCTTCCAACGGATTGTTGTTTGGGTGTTAAGTGTTTCCTAATTTTTTGCTCGGGACCACCAAACGAAAAGAACCGCAAACAACAGCCTTGAACGTCTCTTTGAGCGATGTCCTAGTGGGTCCCGAACCAGCGGCTCCGAACAAACCGCGGGCCGCTTCAACAAACAAGGCCGCAGAGGGTGTCTTCCCGTATACATGTACATGTAATATCACAGACAAGGGTTATATGTTATGTATGCATATACATAAATTCCGGATTTTTTTGTATTATCTGCCACTATTTAGTTTTTGTCTTGTTATCCGTTCTGCATTGCTTGTGGTAGTTTTATTCTTTCTATTCGGTTCTCGTGTTTTGATTCGTTGTGTCAGTGCTATTCGTTTGAATCGCTTTACTAGTTTAATAGGTGTATTGCTTGGTTCCTTCTATGTTTGTTTTCATTGGTTTTATCGGTCTTATTCGTCTGCATGGTTTTATTCGCTGTTTCGTTGCGTTCGCTTGATTTGTTTTATGTGTTTTACTTGATCATTCGTTTTGCATTTTTTATTCGAGGAAGCTGCGGAAGGAGAAGGGACGACAAGGGGATAATAGGAGGGGAATGATGATGCAACGCAGGCATGAGGGGGCTCCCTGTGCTCAATACGCGTGGCTTTAAGCCCTGGATGATAGAGGAAGAGCACAAAAAAAAAGGGAGGGAAGCACGAGGGCGCCTAGCCCTGGATGTCGGACCAGGCCTGTAGCTCCCTCCGTGCTGCCTCGACCTGACGGGGCGAAGGTGCCTGCGGTCGCTCGGGAAAGAGAAAGCAGTGGGGCGGGTCCTGGTTGGCCCAGGGCGCCACTCGAGCATGTCTTCGATCGGCTCGGATGCGCCGAGCCGCGGCACGATTGGCCTCGATCCTGGCCCTTTGAGAGGAAGAGAGAGGAAGGGGGGCAGGTGGCGGAGGCAGAGGCGAAGGCGGGGGAGGGGAGGGCAGAAAGGGCCAGGATGCAGCCTGCTCCTCCGGGGAGCCTAACAGAAAATCTGTTACTCGCTGCTCTTCAGGATCCTCATGTGTAGGATCCATGGCGGGCGAGGGGGTGGCAGAATCCTCCTGACCGTCGGAATCAAAGGAATCAAATCGCGCGTGCTCAAGGTCAGTGCGCCTGGTTGTGCGCCCAGCTCGGTCCTGGAATCCCGCAAAGTCGGGAGCTGGGGCAGGGGGGTCTGGAGCATCACGCTTCATGGCAGCATAACAAGTCATGAGGCCATTTCGGATTTCTTCACAATCCTGAGAGTACTGAGAGACAGGCTCCTCACACGCGGAGTCGATCAATGCGCTGATGTTGGCAACTACACTTGCAGCAAGGGCCCTACAACGGCCTCCTGGGTATGCCTTCTTAGAGGCCGTGAGAAAAACACCGTCATCACGCTTACATAGCAGTGTCTTGTGAACACCTCTGCCATGCGAGCACTTCCCAGAGCCTGGAGTACAACGCAACCTGGACGGCAGACAAGGCATGCGCACGGACAGTATACATGTGGGTGCCCGTCCATGTGTGGACGGACATAAAGCTGGATCCTGATGCTCACACTGGTCGAATTCCGTGAGAGCAGAACATGGGGCGGCAGCGAGGGCCTGCATGGGTCGCCATCTGAAAGTGGGGGCCCCATGCGCCCAAAGAGCAGGGGTCGGGTTCTCTAGCCAGCCACCTGTGCCAGCCCTGAGATGCTCAGTTAGAAGCCTAACTACAGCAAAGAGAAGAACAAAGCATATTCTAACCTGCCCAGACTGTCTCCACGAAATCCATGGCATACCCCAGACATGCTCCATAGACCTGAGGGGAGGAGGTCCGCCTTCCTGCCACCTGGCCGTTGACCAGGTTTCGCAAGGCGGACCTCCCCCAGAGTAGACTACTCTATGACACCTCACGTGCTCGATCCACTCCAGAATGGTACTTTCACGAGACAAGTCACCACGTACACTACCTATTGCACTATCCACGCTGAGCACAACAATTTCGATGGCTGGCAGGGCGATAGAGTACTCTATGTGCCATTGAACATCCTCACGTCTGCGATGTCCACGAACAAGGTTGAGGACGAACAAAGTGCTGCGAACGATGCGGAGTGGCAAGGAATCCGAAGCCACCCCAGCGTCAGCACCTGGATCAAAGAGGTAGAAGGGAGGTTCACGCACATGATCATGACTGGGAGGCAAGTCCTGGAAAATGGCCTGGGACTTCTTTCTCCTTTCAGCGGGAATGGCGTAGTCGGATTCCAAGAGAACTGCTTGTGCCTCTTGCTGGCCAAGGTCGGCCACAAGCTCGTGGGTGGGCAGGCGCACGCTCGCCACTCGACTCGCTGGGGCGTCCGTGCGCCACCTGCCAAAACCTGCACGGCGTTGCTCCAGCAATCTCTGGGCTTCTTGCACGTTCAATTGGGTAGCTTCTTCCAAGGGACAGTTAGAACCACCGACGATAGATAACTGCGTGCCGACGCCGATACCTTCGACAAACTCCTCAACTTCCACGACCGCGTCACCTGCACAAAGCGGCCCACAACGAAGGAGCTGGGGATGGGGAAGAGCAGGAGCAGACACAATAAGCATATAACCGACAGGGTAAGCATACTGCAGAGGTTCAGCCAGATGTTGTTTAGGCGAAACGCTCGCCACAGTAACCACCTCCGAGTGCCCGTTGTCTAATATGTATATGTATATGTATATATATATATATATATATATATATATCCCACTGCGCACTTAGCTGAATCGAAAGCCAGATGCGACGTCAGAGCCGAGCGGTGTGCAAACGATTGGCAGCACGTGTGACAAGTGTGAGTGTGTCTTTGTATGCGCCTGACAAGCTGGACCCTGGAATGGTGGTTACGAAGCACATGCGTACGAAGCCCTCTAGCCTTACCGAACGTAGTTTGACACCACATACATACCCAAGTACGTTCTTGTAAACTCTCTAGCATACGAGTGGGATGCTGCGGATCATCCTAGGCAGGGGGCACTCCTGCGTCAAGTAAAATGCAGCAAATGTCTTGCTCCGCAGTGCGTGCCAAAACTTCGCGCTGCAACTGACGGACATGGGATGCTAGAGCGCTGCGAATGGCGCGTTTCCAGGCCGATGGGGAGCGACGCGCTTCCTGTTCCCAGGCATGTAAGTCGTCGACTGGAGCTGGTAGCCGATGGAGGTGCGGCAGACGTTGGCGAAGCCACTCTATATCTTCCCAAATCGTGCGTGCCCAGGACTGGCGGCACTCCTGCAAGCAATCGCCCAACAGCGCAAACAGGTGCTGAGGGCCGGACACAAGTAGCCCCCCGAATAGACGTAAATTGCTGGCCGAGAGGAGAGCCTCGAGAGGTGGGCGACCCATGGCAGCAAGGACCGCCCGAATGTGGGCGGCCGACTCGTCGCGTCGCGGTAGCTTTGCGATAGCCCTGTAGTAGCTGAGGGGCGAGAACGAGAGGCCGAGCGCGTGCGTCGAGCGTTCCTCGGCCAACAGACTGTGCGCCAGCTGGCGGTCGCTTTTTGCTTGGAACCACGCCGCGAGCAGTGCCGAGACTCGCGCCGGGGCGCCATGCTGCTGTGGTGGGCGTCTAGGAGGCGCCTGGCGCTCTCGATGCGGAGGAGCGCTCGTGCTGCTGAACGCTGCTCTCTGGCCCGTCGGTGCCAGGCTGGTGCCGATTGCCGTCGGTTCCCGCGAGCCGTCTTGGCGCGGTGCGCGCGCCAGGCGTGCGCGGCCAGCCCGCGGAATATGGCGGCGCGGGCCGGCGCGTATGACTGCCGGCCCCGCGGGGCTCGCTGACTTGGCAGCAGCCCCCAAAGCCTCGAACCGGGACGGCAGCCATAGGAGGGGAAAGGGAGGAGGGAGGGCGAATAAAACCAAACAGACAAATAACACATATAAAACGAGTACAACGAATCAAATGAATTAGCAGAATCCGGCGTTGTTCATTTTATGCGTGGTATGTATTTTGTTTCGTTTTAGTTCTTTTAGTTTTACTTCTGTTTCGCTTGATTTGTTTTGTTCGTTTGATTTATATATATATATATATATATGTGTTTGAGTTGTCTTATTATTTGGTCAGTACAACGCACGGGGCATAAAACGAATAAGCTGGGTAAACGTAATTGGGTCTTATTTGCGCTATTCGATTTATAAGTTTTATTCGTTTCATTCGTTTTCTGGGATTCATTCCTGTTTACTCTGTTCTATCTTGTTTCATTCATTTTTGATAGTTTAGTGCGGTTGTTTGTATTATTCGTTTCATCCGCCTTCTTTGTTTGATTCATTGTACTCGCCTTGTTTGTTCAGTTACTTTTGCCTGCTGTTTTGCATTGGTTTTAATCGTTTCTCGGGCGAAGAAGTGGAGGGAGGAGGAGGGGCGGGCGATGGAAACGGATGGAGGAGCGAGGGGGGAGGAGGGAGTCCTTGGACATGATCTTCGATGGGCTCGATAGACCTGTTATAAAACTTCAATTTTCCAAAACCGCCGCCCGGATAATCGCAACTCAATAGTTGATTGCATAGAAAACCGCATTGTTCCAAATCGCTCCTCAGGACAATTGCAACTAAAGAGTTGTTATACTTCGATTATCCGAAACCCCTCTTCCGGACAATTGCGATTAAATATTTGTTATGCAGTTGTTAAAACCCGTTCTTCTGGACATTGACTGCCAAAGAAGTGCCACATGACCTCAATTGTCCAAAACCGCTCCTCCAGACAACTGCTGTTCAATAGCTGCGATGAAATAGCGCCCATTACCCCAAACCGTTTTTCCGGGCGGTTGAAGAACTGCAGCGACATAGGCTTGTTTTCGAGGG